TATCAAACCAAACATTATATTCTAGATTTTCATTTGAAAAACGTAAAATTGACATTAACCTAATACACGGCTAGAGCAATTAATTGTTAATTTTCAATGACATTAAAGCAATCAGTGGTACAATATTTTTTATTCCTCATAATAACTTTCGACATGTTTTATGACTGCATATAAACTGGTTATATATAGACTACCAACTGTATTTAACTGAGTCATATGAACGGTCGTAAATCTTAAATATTATAAGATTCGCGTGCAGGAATGTAAGCATTCCTTAATGAAAGTCAAATTATTATTCTTGTCAGACATTACAGTCAAGTATCATGTCTTACTGTTAAAATTTTAATATAATGCACCCTTTCTTTCTAACACTAAAACACATAATCAGAATCCTGTTACACGTATTTAAAATAAATCTTGGTTTCTTTTCCTTATCATCGTCTTAAAATATCGAGTGTGTTCATTCTAAATGTTGTCAACCAAATTTAGAAAAAGGTATTTCACACATAAGGAATTTTGTTTAATTCCTGTTATCTCAGGGGTGTCGGTATGGCATGTGAAGTGTGACACGTGAAGAAGAGACAGGGTTTATGTAAAATTGTGTGTTTCAAAGGGAAATGTTACGGAGAAAATATATCAAACAACAAATTAATGCTTATGATGTTTAGATGATTTGATAATTTTTTAATCAATTAGCAATGATAAGTATTTATCAAGGAGAACGTTTGCTGTGTATTAAAGGTGTTAAACTCTCTTAACCTAGGGATATGGGGACCAGGCCTTTCGACTGTCACGACCATGTTTCCTCATATGACATCAGTATTGGTTAATTTCAGAAATGGTTCAAATACGCAACAAAATTTCTTCACAGTCGAATACTATTGTTTTAATTTAATCAGATCAAACGGAAAATAAATTCAGCGCTCCACAGAATAAGGTGGCACTAGAACACATTGACTTTCATAAATGCATTCTTGTTTACCCCTGGAAATTAATGTAAATAATATGGATGATATGTAATCAAATTTATTGATGTAGTCCATAACTGACAGATGATTGCTGTATACGGTACATTACATACGAGCGTATAGGTTATTTTATTAAAAATGTTCAAAGTCTTATGTATTCTTGTACAGTAATATTTGTCTCGTAAATCAACTTTATATTGCAATATATAGTAACAACTACAAATCAATTGCTTTTCATTGTTTTCAAAGGATGTTAATCAGTTGTATTTAAATTCACCAGATAATATGTATTAGTAGGGAGCGGGTCTACTTGAGAACTGAGAGGTTCCAGGTTGGATTCTAGGTTTTGTATTCAGTCTGTTACCTTAGAAACTTATTTATTTGCTATATTGTAAGTTAACATGTTATATCTTGTGACTATTGAAATCCCTGGATAAACCAGTACTAGTGCCACATAATGAATAGAACTCCAATCCGTAATGCCTGGGTACAGGTAAAATCTTATATTTGTCAACAATTACCTTAGACGTACAGGTATCATCCGTATATAACAATGACAATATATCAACACTAGTACAAAAGATGTTGCGACACAAAGTTTATTTTATTTTCATAAAATATATAGACAATGTTATATTATAAACAATAAAAAATAAGTATTTAACAATACAATATGTTGTAAACATATCCTTATTGTTTAACTTAGTTTTTATCTGAACAATTATAAAACAATGTCTGGATATGGTTACTTCCCTTGACATGAACAACTAAAGATTTCGGTTTTTCTTATTTAGATTTTCATATTTTTCAATAATCTAACTTTTCAAGAATATCCAAATCTTAAATTTAAAGATTTTATTAAGATTGAAAAAGAGTTAAAGAATACATGTATGTAGATATACTGTATATATCAGATATATAAATTTAGAGTAATTTCATCAATTCTTGAAAAAAAAAAATATTAAAACTAAAATTTTGATAGGACCCATTTAAACATCATGACAGTTTGAAATCTGCAAATATGTTTTACAAATAAAATCACCTTTAAGAGAAAGGGTAATAATTATAACTATGTACATACATTTAACATACAAAATTAAACAAGAACATTATAAATTATACAATACATAAAGAAAAAAAAGTATAAAAGGGCAATTTTAGGAGCAACTTGATTTTGAACTTGTATTTGAACCTCAAGTATTTTGCTAGGCTAGTACATCACGCGACATGGAAGCATCATGTGTGATCCGTAATGTTTAAATTCCTGTAAGTTAAATACAAGTTACAATTTTCTTATAACAATCCTTTTAATATATACCTACACGAATCTGAAATTTAATAATTTAACCGTACTATAATGATACTGGAATCCTAGCAACGTTATCCGGATCACAAACGTGTATGATAAGGTATTTTGTAGATCAAATCGGATCGAATTTGTGAATGTAATTCAATCATACATTAGACACATGTTTATATATATATATATAATATGTTATTTTGTGGATATATTACCTATCAAGATTTTATATCACCCGAGCCGTTAGGCGAGTGTGATATTTTTTATCTTGGCAGGTAATATATCCACATATATCACTTAAAAACCAAAATAATAATTTGATTGCCCTTCCCCTGCCGAGTTAAGACGATTTTAAAATAAATCATTGCTACTTCAAAATGAAACATCGAAATAAGATTCCCTTTAGGGTACCCCTTCATCACTACATGACGTCACTTAAATACATGACGTATTTTCTTTCGAACCTAACGAATGTAAACAAGCGAAAAGGAGTAGTCTGTTGAACGCACTTTTTTTTAATTAATATCAAGCTTTCACGAGGTCAAATTTGTTTTCAATACTGATGAGAATATGTATGATTACTCTATTTTGGTAAATATTTATCATTTGACAGTTAAAAAATGCTTGTAAATCAGAATTTACATCGCATAGAATCAAACCGTACGCGCATCCCGTCGCCACAGCGCATGTTGTTTAGAACGTGGGGTACCCAACGGGGAAATTTAGTGTGTATATTACCCGTCTGGCTCGGTAATATCAATTTCTTTCGGGTGATCAATATCCAATCAAAAAGGCGGAAAAAATCTAGAAGGGTAATAAATATAAATATATATATATATCATTTATTAACTCAAAATGTTTTATAGTTACATCAGTATAGTGCAACATAAGTATATAACAATACAAAATTCACATGACATGGTATTGTAGTTGTATTAAGTTGTATTATAGGTAAAACACTTCCATTAAAAGTAATTACTACTACTTATATTTCTAAATATACAATTATATTAAACTGTTAAATACCGATATTCTTTTATCTTCCTCTCAGCCCAGGGATCGTGATTCGAATGAAAGATTGAATAAATAAAATCACAATACATAGTCTACAGTAATTTGATATTATAAACGAAACTTGTGACATGTGACCAGTACATTATAAAAAGAATCTTAGTTCACCTACCCCTATAGATGTCTATTTGATATTCAACGTACATGCAAATATGCTTTATTCTTCCAACTCAAGTACTTTTATTGTATTTGAATTGGAAGAAGTCACAATGAGCGTGTTTCTTTTTTTATTAAAGCAAATGTTAAGAGGATTCGTTAAACCACAGTTTGCCGCTACTAATTCTCCTTTACAGTTCCCGTTCTTGCTAAACATCACGATATTGCTGGAATGGTATCCGCACACAAACACTGTACCATCATCAGCTACACATACACCACGCGATCCTTTAAGTCTACTGTCCCTAAGCTCCATCATCACCTTACTATCTTTATTAAGACACACAGCACCATCAGACCAATCTGCAACGATCACCGTATCAGCAGTGACAGACATATGTTGGGTAATTGATTTAAATATCATGTTACCATTTGGATTTTTATCAAAAGATTTGATCAAAGTTCCTGTAGTATCATATACTTTAACACAATCACCAGTAGATAACCAAAGTCCATTCTCACAATGTGTAATTCCATAATCATTTCCTGATTTATATGTTAATTTTGAAAGATGAAACGCTGACGATATGTTTTATTTTGTGTTCCATGTCTTTGTCTTTGAATATTTAATTGTTATTTAATTGTTAATGTTTTTTATGCGTCAATTTAAAATTGAACATGGGCTTGGAGTAAATTAACATTCTATGCTATCTGTCTGTTCAAAATGTAAAATGATGATTTAAGACAAAAAATAAAAGACTAAAAAGAAAAGCTTAGACAACACAAACTGTCCGGATAATTCAAGACAAAAGCAAAACACGTCATTTTTTGTAAAATAATGGCTTGGCTGAATACCGGTTACAAAGGCTTATCATAAAGGATAGAGTTTGTCAGGTAACGCCAAATCATGTGCACTTTTGCAATATTTAATGACATCATATTTGTATTAAATATAATATTGAAATATTCATGTAAATGTTTTAAAAGAAAGTTTTGTGAAATAACAAGAATAAATTCAAAAGTAGTGTAAAGTGAACCCTTCAAATTCAAAATAAATAATATCTTTCAGTGTCGCTAATGAACAATCAAATAGTTATCTTGCAATCTTATTGTTATTGCATTATCTGGTAGCAGTACAAGACCTGTGGCTTGCATCTCCCGTCTACTGAATAAAAGTTTACATGATTAATGCATAACCTCTTTTATGCATGAATGCATGCAAAAAGAAATCTGGAAAACATCAGACGGTTTGATTGAATCTTTTCCCAAATTGTAATGAACTCTTCCCCTTAGCGATATTCAATCTTCAGCACTTAGTGTGCCCCAACAGACCTGAAAAGTATAACTACTGACAAAGAGAACGGCACAACTTTATACAGCTGCTAAACGACATTTAACACCTGTTGTTATAAAGTGTAAAAAGTGTGTAAAGTGTTATTTAACAACCAACATGAACATAATATTATTGTCATTTAAAACCTTTCTATTGGCCAGGTGAAAACTCATACATACCAATTAATACTTTGAAATCGTTTTAAATACAAAGAAATATGTATCATCTCCTTATTTGTGATTTAATCGTTACAAAGACGAAACAATTGAGTAGAACACACAATAACAAATAAAACACTACTACAGTTTATCAATTTTGATTCATTCTTCTTTTTATCCCCCACACAATTTCTTTGATAATAGTCTATAAGCGGGAAGTTCAGATATGCATCTGGATGTGACAAAGGAGTAATTTCCACTATCTGACAAAGTTTTCTATCGTTATAATAGTTGAAGCCTCGACAACTTATCTTGTAAGAGCAAGATGTTTTACAGGTTTTGATCGTCGTTTGTTCCAATATCGGAGAAGTATCCTGAAGCGCTTTGTTTGCGTACTTGTTATATGTTGATCCGTAGTTGACACATTCTGCAAATAATTAAAATGGCATGCGGAATTTAATTATCAATTTTAAGAATAACATTTTTTGAATGCTCTCTGATCTTCGATTGATTTAGATGTCATTGTATTATTGTGAGGTCACGTGTTTTATCATACAGACCTTCCAAACCAAGCTAATATAGTCGGTAAGATACATAATAATGACTATAATCGAGCACTCATAGTTTGATTTCTATTATTATTGTGTCAGAGGTGTTTAATATAACCAATAGTTTTTGTTAAGAGAGTGTTTGTTTATAAATTCCAATAATATCCAAGTATTAAGACATGCTATGAGAGTTATATAGACAGCCGTAAGTCGTGACGTTTTACTATATTATTATCTTTAAATTTAATACTTATAACGTTCCAATAACGAACCCTAGCCCTGCACGAAGCTGTGTAACCGACCGGCGACAGTCAAATAATCTTACCACCGTTCGTTCAAATAAAATTATGCCTAAGAAATTAATTTTATTGTTCTTCTGTAGAAACGAAAAACATGTTTTAATTTTGTAGTAATAATTGATAAAGAACGTATGAATTTCTTATCAAATAAAAACAGCTTGAATGTGAAATAATTTGTGGTAAAGAAAGAAAAATATAATCAAAGTGGTATTTTGACTTTCATACAAAATACATTATAACTAAAGCCGAAACTGTAAAAGCACACACATACACAAAAGATAATATTAAATATGGGCAAGCTATATGACCAAGGTGTAACTGTCTGGAAACTGAAACGGGACATCAAGAAAAAAAATTTAAAAAAAAAGCATTTTTATAAGGCATAATGAGCCTTTTAACCTTTTACCCAATGCGCATATTGCTAAAATGGCCGTTTTCATTGAAAAGCCTCCTGTAACAAGTTCAAACTGCTATGAAACTATGAAAAATGCTTCAATGCTGATGAAACTTGGCACACATGTTGGCTAGACCATAGCCTCTGTAACAGCTTGCTCAATCGTAAATTTCCTGTTACAATGTCAACAGGGGGACGTCTCAAAATGGCCAAAAGTCATTATTTTGCATTGTTTTTTTTCCATCAAAACTGATCTCAAAGTGCTGCAACTTCTCAATGAATTGAGATAGAGTAAAATGCTTTTCAGCGTCGGTTACTAGTTACCCTAAGATCAACCAGAGGCCATTTTTAGCCTGTCACATGTCCAAACTTTTCTTGGCGATGAGGGGGACTCCGCCCCCTTCAAACCCCCCAAACAGAAGGGGGCACATACCCCTTCTGCCAACCCCCTGATGTAACATTTGGATGAGGGATGGCGCCGAAAAAGTGGTCACGTTTTTTTTACAACATTTCTCAAACGAAAAACAGTGTTTGGGGTCTAAATAGGGCATTTTTTTTTACTGTTTGAGGCCTCAAAAGGGGGGAGCCTTCGAAACGCGCTTATATTAGGGAAAAGGTTAAAACAACATAATTGCAAATGATAGCCAATAAAATAATTAATGGTTGTCTTAAATCATTTTTGATCTGTTGACCTCTAATTAATTCTAAAAAAACAATGCCTATATGAAAATAGAGCCAACAATTTCAAAATAAACTATAGCTTACTTGCAAAGAATGAAAACATACTAAATCTTTAAATTCATCTTCATTTGTATGCAGAAATCAGAATTATTTGAATGTATAAATTATCTGTTATGCATTACCAGTTTTCTTGTAATAAGCAAACCCCATCGTAGTATTGCATGTGACGTTAGAAGATAGAATTCCAAGTACACCTTTACAGTATTTCTGTTGCTTGCTATAGAAGAAACCTCCACAATTTGTAACGAGATGACATTTGTTTGCACATTCTTGTACTGTCCTTGATGATCCAAACTCTAAACTGGCTTCTTTTGGACACAGCACATCAAGCAATGTTTCATCCTTGCGATATATGTTAATATCAAAAGATGTCCCTGCAGCTAGCATTACTACTAAAATTTCTAATACGGCTTTTAAATTCATCATTACTCTTAAACTGATTTGTTTTGCTTCACATGTATAAATTCCTGTCTAATTAACACCGTATGAAGTATAACATCAATTGCTTTAATAATACAAATTCAGTAGAGATTTTGTGATAAAGAGATTACCCTTAATATATTTTGCTGTGTTATTGGTCTTAAGAAAGTAACTATTGTTTTAAATGTTCGTTCAAAAATCCACAAATTGTATCAACAGTTTTGTCAATTTATAAAAAGACACCAGATATTCCATACATAACCTATGCATGTTCTTTTCTTTATAACATCGAATTGAAATGTTAATGTTTTATGTGGGATTTCGATATGCAGGCGGGGTTACAATTGTAAGTAACGAATCCGGTGTTTGTCTTCTAATTGCAATTTGTGTTGCAAATTAAAAATTATTTGAATCGATAAAACCACCACAAGCCACAATTAATACATTTAAACACATTTTGTACTCGATTTTAAAGATGCCAATTAAATGTTATTATCAATAACCATTGCAGGTTATAAGATATATTCTTTTATAGTTTTTTTCTTGTTTTTTGGGTGGGTTTTTAAGGATATATGTGTTTGCTTTCATTAATTATATATTGACAGTACTACGATGACCTAATAGATTTTTAAAGCACAAATTCTAATAAGGAATTCTGTATAATTTTTATTCTCCGCAAGATGTCATTTTCATTTACCATTGCATATTGTTTCCACATTTTTGTAAGTTAAATGAATGCAAGTAAACATGAGTTATTATGCATTGCAACGTTCATGATTAGTGATTACTTTGTGCTTGATATTTTTTACAAATTAATAATAAAATGTCAATTATATTACTTCATGTAAACATTAAACATATGTTATTTCTTTTTATATTATGAAGTTTTCTTTAAACATTTTGTAGTCTTTTTTGAGGAAAATTTCAACTCGTGAACAGAATTTTCCTAAACCTTGCATTATTTAGGAGAATTGTAATACAATTTTTTTGGGGGAATGTCGAGGATAAAAGTCTCACTTTTTGCGTTATCTACCCCTGCAAGTAATTGTTTTAGTGTTTGCTTGTTTTAGGCCATTTTCCTGAGATAACCTAAAACTGTAGGAGGCAACATTTTATTTGATTTCAAATTCGTTTTTATTACTTTGTTTCTTGACATGTTGGCTTGCGAAGTTCTATGCAATACGTCTTATTCTATAGTTTATAATGCGAAATGATTGAAAAGTTTGCCCAGTTTAGCTCTTTTGTAAAAAGAATTGCAGTAAGTTCACCGAATCAGCATAGCAAATTGTTTATCAAATAGATTTGATTCAATTTATTTGCATAATGACTGAAAATGTAGCCAATCAAGTGGCATGCTCTATTTTTATCCACAACAGACAGTAAAGTAACTGGAGGGTGCAGGTTACTAAGATCTGCACACCAGTTAACGCCCTCTGCATTTATATATCTACAATTTGTCTCCAAACTATTATACAAATAAATATCTATGCATCGTAAAATTTATAAAATCTTTCGTAAATAATATATATTTATGTTCTATCATTGTATTCTACAAATTATTGGTGCATCGGTAACATCGATTAAATAATACTGTTTGTTCTTCTGTCATAAAAGATGATGACGAACTCCTTTGCAGTAGCAATCGTTTTCGTTTCATGTTTTATGTCTGTTCTTCATATATAATATTACTGACATGTGATGATAAAAAGAATCTTTCTACTTTCTAGTCGTTTATTATTTCATCTGCCACCATTAAAACCGTCTTCAACGTAATGGAATTTAAAGGGTCAAAGCAAACACGATTCACAAAAGCATACATTTTGTACTTTGCTTTCAATAGTTTTTTGTAAGAAATGTTTATTTGGTAAGATCAATATTAATTTTATTTTCAAACATGAAGGTTTTTTAACATTCAATGCATTCATTTGCATGCTTAAATTTCGGCGATTCTTTTCGAACAGCTCGTGTCTTAGAGAATAAACTAGATGAAGTCATATTTTGACATCTTTAATCACTTTGGTTTAAAGAGTGTTTTTGGCACATTTGGCGTTTAGAAAATCTAATGTGATTTAGCTCTTCATGCTCCCGATGAAACTCAGCTGTTTCAGTAATATGTATTACAAATACACGTAGCATACTTTATCATATAGATACAGGTGTAAACTATATTAGATTTAATCCGTTCTGCAACTAGCCAGCTTTACTTGTGGAAGACGGCCTCAAATATTTTCATTCATGCCTTTTCATGCATCATTTCATGCACGATCGACCTTTTTACATAACGTTAAATAAATGTTAAATGTTCGAATATATTTAAATAGAAAATAAAACAGAAAGTTCCAATTCAATGTGTATTCTGTATCTGCTTTTTTCTCTCTTTTTTGTTGTTTTTTATTTTATTTTATTCTATCTTATTTATCTAGACAAATACGCTTGACATTTCAATTGACGTTTCTCTCCTGTTATTAAGGCCTTTAACATGTATGTTTTATTATTGATTGATAGTTTCAAGACAACGAACGCATCACTTTAACTTGTTAATATAATACAATCTTACAAAATACAAAATGTTGACGTTCAATGAAACCTATATATATTTAAATGTATGCCAAAAGGATCATTTATTCACATTGCAACATCAAACCAAGCAAACAAAAAAAGAAAAATGAGAAATAAGATCAAGAAGGCAAGGCGGTGTTAACAGATTGCAGTCCCGACACAGTCATACCAACAGGGCACACAGATAGAACCGAACTAAATATTTGAAGAGGACCTAACACGTCCTAGAAACTGCTCCGGTTACAATATATTGTTTGATCTATGACTAAGTCGTTGTCAAACTATAATTGTTTTGACGACTGCCGTGAATTTTTCAACAGTTGATGGTAATTTGCAAAAGCATCTAGGCCATTTTATTAAAAATGTTGATAATTACCCTAACAGTGTAACTTTGTACCCTTTCTATGTTCACATACAACTTGTAAGCATATGTTGTGTTTATGTTTGTATATTCCTATAATTATATACTGTCTTGGAAGATCGAAACTGTATTGTTTATTCTGTATAAACAAATATTAATATTAAATGAGCACTGTCACATAGATGTATAAAAGTATATCATTTTATTTAACTGAAATCATGGCAGATACATTGTGAGCTACATCTGTATATTCAATAAAATTCCATAAACTTAATTAATATTTTATATTGTTAATATTGTTTTACACAAATCAATTATAGAATTACATATACGCAGGATGCAATATTTCTGGTATAACCCATCTTTACATTACTCCGGACAATCAGTTAGCTATCCAGAATATTCCATAATTACCAATTCATAATACATGCAATATAAAAAATTTGTACAATAGTTTTCTTTTCTTCACTGTATTACTATTTAATATATTATAATAATTGTGATGAACAAATTGTTGAACTCTGCAAGTGTTTTCAAACATTTTAGTTTCGTTTGCAGATATAAAGTAATCCTTGAAGGAAAACGTTCTAAGGCTTAATTTTAGATGCTGACTTAAAAGGCAGAGCTTTAAGCAGGCATTTTGTTAGGTGATGATTCCAAGTATTTATGAGGAAATATTTTGAAATAGATATACTTCGTCTTTTTATTGCAGTCTGTTTAATTTCATAAGAAGTAAAAAGCTTCATTTCCTGCTACGTGTACGACATTAATATATATTTCATGATAATTCTAAGAGTCTTTACCATCAATGTTGTTGTAAAATTTGAAAGAATTATTTAAGCTTAATAAAGCACTTTAATTTAATCAATACAAAACAAGTTTGCTAAATAGAAGTGTAAATATTTGCAAGAAATAAATTGAATTTAAAACTTTCATTTACCTCTGTTTTCCCAACGTTTCCACACAAAGGGTAATGGCAGTAATTCTACTTATAATATCGATCCGAAAAGATGACTTTGGCCAATTTTATTTTACTAAAACGTATCATTGCTTCAATTATAAATAATACCCACAATTAAGTTATATGTTTGCACTATCTTGAAGATGAAAACAACAATTATCATTCAAAACAAATAATATAACATTATATCTGAACACCTTTTAATTAACGATATTCTTAGCCAATGAAATTGTTTCCGTTAATAACATAAAAGTGATGTTGACATGTTGATGTTGAATAAACATATTTATTTTGACCACAGGTGTTTTGTTTAATAATCATAAGAATAATAAAACGGTGTTGTACAGACGTCAAAAAGTAATTATTGTTTAATAAATTTGAACATGGAATATGACTGTCATTGCAACAAAAATATAAGTAAGATAAACATTGTTTTGTCGATGTTTATTATTAATACAACACATTTTGATGTACTTCTTTTGTTTTAAGTTTGATATATTCATCAGGTTCTAATTTGAATTGATATAAACAAGCTAATATTTGTTTGTAATTATTTGAATATCGACATTCTCCAACATTTTCAAAAGCAATAAGCTTTATTGGACTTAATACCCTTGTTAATAAGTCCAATTCATTTTAAAATTTGTAAAATAATAAATCTCATAGAACGATAATTGAGATAGAAAAAGAGAACTCATCATTTGACATGGCAAAAAAATAGGACAAGGACTAACTCTAAATGCCATGATCAATTAAATGTCTAAATGTTAAATATACCAAATTTACTACATTAAATTAAGTAATGCTATATTTAATCAAGATTTGTCATAGATCTATAGTTTTGTATCAAAATTAGCAAGACATTACCAAAATGGTGCAATATATACAAGACATACGTATACATTTAAGTATAATGACAGAAAACAAGCATTGTACGTTTTACTTTATTTCAAGCATTGGTTTATTTAATGAGAATTAACTACACAAAATAAACAGACAAGCCGCACAAACACGAACATTCACTAATTATTATTGCATACGTTCCGGCTATATGCCATCATCAGTGCAAAACATTATAAAATAACCGGAAGCGACGTAACGGAACATGCGTTAAACGCGCGAAAAACGTTAAGACGTTTAGCGGCAAAAATATGATGACATATAGAAACAAATATTTATGTTATAAATAAAGCTAGTACATGAATTAAAATGGATCAACAGTGATACAGATGTCTATTAGACAGTGTTAATAAAATAAGATAATAGACAAACATATTAATATTCAAGTAACACATTATTAATCAAACAATGTTTTATTATTTAGTCCATTTCGAATCATAGTATTTAATTGATGGATCCAAAAAGA